TAAAACGTAATTCATAAGGAATACAGAAAGAAAATAGAAGTGAGGATATTGATTTAAATATCATAATTTAATAATTGATATTTAGAAACAAAAGAGTTGAAATAATCAATCCCAGGTATGAATCTTTACATTTCATTTTCTTTTTAAGAATTTTGATTTGGTAACATGCTAGTTTAGCAACAGCCATTATTATGCCACCATTTCCTGTTTCCTTTATTAACTAAGAATTTCATGATGACGAATCTTATTTCTTATAGAAAGTTTGCTGAGCATTTTCCTTTCCCTTGCTAGAACTGCAGAATTGAGATAACTCAGAAACCTGACACTCTGATATGAGTTCTAGTGCTAGGAGGATGAGTGTCCTTCACTTTGATCTTTGCTAACTTTAAGTGACACTTCTCATTACCCCTCATCAGCTCTTCCCCAAAGCATCCTGCCTTTTCACAAGCTGTGAATGAGAACTCTGACTGGCAGCACCAATATTGTTTGCTGAGTAATAGTTGCTTTCAATGTGCAGCTTCAGGATCATTTACTAATTAAAATTGCTTTACCACTGAGAGGTCCCCTGAGGTATGCCCTTGTTTATCTGGATTAGACCATGAAATCATAGTTGAATCAATCCTTAGACCACAATTTGCTGCTAATCCAATGAAAAGTTGGAAATAATATATGGATAAAATTCACAAAATTTTATCAGCACACATGTATAATTAGGTTGATCATAAACCAAATAAACACAAGCACAGATAAACAATCTGAAACAGGAAGACAAAGCCTATATGTGGAGCAATGGAACTATATGACGAACTTTTAAATATGCTACGGATAAAGAGGGAAGAGTGAACTTTAAAGAAACTGCATTTTCTAGTCAATTTGTATTTATAATCATAAAGTTCTGGAGTTACAATATCATAGCCTTTGGGCCTTCATTAACACATCCATGCTTTACGAAATCATCACTCAAATAAACCAATAAAATAACTTAGGCTGACTTTCCCACAGTTTAATATTGTGACATACTCAGATTCTCAGTGTTACATTTGTTTGAAGTTGTGACATGATGAAAAATTATTGTTTGTGAGTACATGTGTATGTGTGTGTTTGTTAGGAAGTGGGATAAGAAAGCCTCAGTAACTTTAATTGCTTCAGTGTAGCTGCCAACATTGAAAGAAAATGTCAAGCATATAAAAGATGAGAACATAAAGAATGTCACATAAGGCTGGGCACAGTGGCTCACGCCTGTAATAGTACCATTTTGGGAGGCTGAGGTGAGCAGATCACCTAAGGTCGGGAGTTCAAGACCAGCCTGACCAACATGGAGAAACCGTGTCTCTACTAAAAATACAAAATTATCCGGGTGTGGTGGCACACGCCTGTAATCCCAGATACTTGAGAGGCTGTGGCAGGAGAATCACTTGAACCCGGGCGGTGGAGGTTGCAGTGAGCCAAGATCACATCACTGCACTCCAGCCTGGACAATAAGAGTGAAACTGTCTCAAAAAAAAAAAAAAAAAAAAAAAAGTCATACAAATGATTCAAAATCAGTATAGAAAATAAGACTTAAATATCAAACAACTAAACAATTCTTCCTATTTCTATTAATTGTCCAAGACATTGAATATCCAGTATCCACCATAAAAACTAGCATGGAGCAGATTCTCAGAAAGATTTGAAGAACTGTGTGGGAAAAGGATGGATGGGCGAATGAAGGAAGAATGGGTAACATAAGGATTTGGTGGTGTAGGGTTCTGGTCTGTTTTATTCATAGTTAATAACTCCCGTTCAAGGGAAAATAAGATAAGACAAGAAAGTAAGGCCTGAATATTTCAGTTTTAAAACATGGTATGTTATAAGAGATTTAGTAATTAAAATTATAAGAAAGTGAATGAGTAGATAAGACATAAGTATTTTTGAATTGAAACACTTCTATCATAGATTTCTAGTTGTCTGTATTATTTTCTATAACCTTGCAATAACAAGAGTTCCCTTATAGTTTTAAAAAGAAATAACAATGTAGATATGAAAATGACAACTCAATATCATATTGTTTTACTTCTTTCCCAATTAAGAGGATGAAAAAATAGTCTTTATAGGAGAATAGTAACACAGACTACTTGATGTAAAGGGGGATAAACAAAAATACAAGTAAATTGTCACGTTCCTGTTTAGGTTGTGGACTTGATAATTGGCTCATGACATTTCACAAGTGTTTGGGGGCAGATTTCTCATTTACTCTATTTATAAGATTGATGTCCTGGATACTTCAAATCACAAGTGTATATTTATCCAAAGCAAAATAAAATAAGTCCCTTTCACCATTAATATTTATTCTGTAGCTTAAATGCAGCAGGATGCTTCCAAATATCAGAGCAAAAAATTCTGGGCAGAACATGACAGCCTAAGAGAAAAACGCTGCTGAATTAGCACTTTCTGAGAAGCCCTTAGGGAATAGACATATATTATCTTTTGAAGTCAGTGACAAAAAGATTTGAGAAATAAACATGAGGGTTTTTATGACTATGCAATAAATATATTTTCTAACATAGAAAAGTGATCTATGCTCTAAAATAATGCTAATTATATTTTCAAAGAGATGGATGTCTTTATGTGTTTATCTGCATATGCCTTGACACTAATGACCTGTAAATTACTATGGTATCTCCTGACATCTGAACTTGACACATGTAGAGATTCTAGATATAAAAATTAATCTTTACTCTAGTTAATCTTTACTTTTTTAAAATCCAAATATCCTAAGTTTCTTTCAAATATAAGGTTCACTCAGATTTACTCTGTAATTCATAATTTCCTCTTGTGAATCAGAGATGTATACATGCCTTGAAGGTTTCATGGAATCCTTTTCGGATAGAGCCTGATCTAAAACGAGGCATATGTTAAATCTTCTTACACAAGGCCAGGCTCTCATCTTCCTCTGCACCCCACAGTGCTCATTCAAGTGAAGAGTCATCTTTGAAGGCAATTGGAGCTTCTTGCTTGGCTGAGCATCATGGAGCTTGGAGGAAGATAAAAAAGGAACTACAGACTTTCAACTAGAATTCTGCTAGCAGGACACACTGAAACCAGCCTGCCAGACCACTGTGGGATAAGTTTACTTGCCCTTTAGCCATATACAAAGTGTGATATATATTAATTGGCCTACAATAATTTCCACCTAACAAATAAGAAAAGTATTTCCAATCATATCCAAGATTTATTTTATTGAAATTTCCTTCTGAAAAATTTGGCTGCCTACTTAAAAAATTATGCTATTTATCTGTCTTGGGATATGTACAAATAAGACATTCACTTTATTAGTTTCCCTTAAAATAGCTTATAGCAATGTCAACAGATTAAGAGAGCATTAATAGCAGTTTGTTAGGACTTCCAGGAAAGCTGGAGGTTGAACATGGTCACTCTTGTATCATAATCAGCAATTTTCACATCTCTTCCCAAACAGCAATGTGCCTTTTTTTTCAAAACAAATATTCAAACACCTCACCCAATACTAATGAATATGAATAAGAATTAAGGAGTTGTTCACATGATTCTGATACGTAATCAAGTTTAGAAAGCACTGTAGACAACAGCGCACTTGCAACAGTATGAATCCTAGAAACATATGAATTCAAGACAAAAATTCACAGTTTATTTTCTTAAAAAGAAAAATGCGACTTATTCCTCCTTTAAGCTATGATCTATATTCTCCATGTACAATAAACTCCTTAGAGAAACATCCATAGTTTGAACATTTTTAGCTTGTACGTGTCCACTCTATGGACACACCTATCCTGCCAGTCCCTGCATAATAAAATGTAGTCTGTTTACACAAACTTTGAAGCCCTCAGTGGAAAAACCCGGCTTAACAGTCAACACTGTACTCCTATTAATTTCCTATACCAATAATATCCTTTTGCCAAACTAGAAGGCTAAGAATATTTCTTTCTTGATTTCTATCTTTTTTTAAGATGGAGTGTCACTCTTGTTGCTCCAGCCGGAAGGCAAAAGTACAATCTTGGCTCACTACAATTTCTACCACCCAGGTTCAAGCAATTCTCCTGCCTCAGCCTCCCGAGTAGCTGGAATGACAGGGGCCCACCACCACACCCACCTAATTTTTGTATTTTTAATATAGACAGGGTCTCACCATATTGGCCAGGCTGGTCTTGAACTCCTGACCTCAGGTGATCCACCCGCCTCAGCCTCCCAAAGTGCTGGGATTACAGGAGTGAGCCACTGCACCCGACCAGAAGGCTAAGGACTCCTCTAATGACATTCCATATTTAACCAATCCTATGTTTTTTCCCTTATTGTTTTCTTACCCTATTAGGTGCACATATTTCCCAACTTTCTGACCAAATCCTGTTAGTTCATGAAGGGCCATATCAAATTCTGCCTGGACAAGGAGGACTTCCTTGATGCCTCCAATATACATTGTTTCTGTAACTTATTAACTTGCTTTGCTTTGCCTATGATATTATTTTGTAATCTATCTCTGCGGCGCCTGATGTAGTCATGTAGTCTATTTTTTAATGTGGTTATCTTATATCCTGTGCTGTCCTCTGCACATGCTTTCCCATTGTATGAGCTCCGTATAATTTTTGAATTTAATTATTGAGGTTTTTTTTCAGACTAACATTTGCATCCTTCACAGAAGAGTAAATACACACTGGAAAGATTAGTTTACTTATGGTTTTGAGCAATATTAGATTAGGGTAGGAAATTATTCTTCAATAAGGGTAAGTAATGAAATGATTTTCCAAAACAATCCACTAAAGAGGGACATAGACAGGATCCAAATAGCCTCAAATACTCAAGTCAAAGATTTCTCCTTCAGGCCCATTTTTGAGACCTTGGGTGAAACTCAGGAGGTTACAGCTGACTTAGAGGCCTGAAGCAAGTGCACAGATACTGTTGTAAATGAATCCAAGGCTAAGAACTGAGCACACCACTGTGTGTGAGTGTAAGAGCCGTGACCAGAAGCCAGGCTTAGTCAAAACCAAGGACTGGTAGTCATGGCAACAGGGGCACATCCAGAAGCCAGAGCTGGAAAACAGAGCAGGTCAAATGTGGAACTGGCTTTTGGCTAGAGTGGAGAGGTGATGCCAGAAGACCAGACTAGGTAGAGGGCCCAGGGACAGTCCATGGTGCCCAGGCAGCAAGGGAAGTCCTGGTGCCCAGGCCAGATGGCATTCTGCTGGATGTCTGGTTGCGATTCCAGCTGGCTCAAAGTCCCATTTGCTCCTCATGCCACAGATTCGTCTACCTGGCTCTGATATTCTGTTTTCTTTTTTTTTCTTCCTCCCCATATTTCAGATGCCCTCAAAGCAGCCTCATGAAGCTATTTTGCCAGAAGCTCTGTAAGGTGACCCTATTGTAGAAATGCGAGAGGTAAGTTAAAAGATAGGTATTTCTCTTTAAACTACCTAAAAGGAGACAATACATATTTCTGTACCATAACAAAATAGTCCAATAATTTTGTTGCACTATCCTGGGCAATTCCAGAATGAGTTTCCAGAAGGATTGTTCTACAATGTGTCAGAAATACTGTATTGTTATTAACACTGGTTCAAAATAGAATATTGTGAGAATCAGAGATTTTCACCTTCCATTAATTACTTCATTATAATGGCTGACATTTATTGATAATGCTTTGACTTGCTATATTTGAGGTATCAGGCAAAAGTATTTGAATATATAAAATATATTAACAGTTATATTTGTCTTACCAACTCTCTGAAGTAGGTTATTTCATCACTCTCCTCCTCTTTTATATTTAAGTAAAATAAAGCCTAGATATTTTCTGTATCAAATAAATATGGCGTTAAGACAGAAAAAAAGAATCTGTAATGCTAGCCTTAGATTTGAAATAGAAATAATTTATTTAGGGACATCACATTTTAGAACTCGTAGAGTCACTGTCAGCACATTTAATCTAAAAATGTAAACAGAGCATGTTAAGAAAAGAAAGGGAGATAAAAAATCTGGTGATATGGATCTAAGGGTGGACACAAAATGCCTGCGCCTAAGATAGTCCCTGGTTTGAGGATTATGGAAGAAGGAAGGGAAGGAAAGGCTGGAAGGAGAGAGGGATGGAGAGAAAGGAAGTTAGTTGAGAGTGTGTCATTCCTGTGACACACTCTTTCCAATCACAAATTATTATTTATGAGAGTCTTGTTATTTCTAAACATTTGGATATTTTATAAAACATCCATAGTAATGGAAATATAAATATGCTGAAATAAAGTTTTATAGAATGGATGTTTACACAATCTTAAAATTTTATTTCCTTGCTTTTTCTCTCAGTGCCTTTTGAGAATCTATTGAAATCCCCCCAGCAATATGCAAATGAGCACAGAAACCTGCAAGTAATATACCTAGACCCATGGACCTAGTGGAGCTGATGAATCATAGGTTAAGAACTCCAAAATTATCATGTTTTATTACTTAGTAGCTTTTATAACTCCTTTTGAATTACAAAATCTTTCTAGGCTCTGTCTACACAAACAAGTGGCCATAATTGAACTTGATCTTTTTTGCCATAGAGGACCACCACCATTTTACTCCCCTAAATACATAATTTATTCCTGACATCTTAAATATACATCTAGTACTATGCACAGCATTGTGTTATACATTACTATACCTCCCCAATATAATTTGAAGGCAACCTGTACTTAGCTTCACAACAAAATCAATCTTAATAAGTATTTGGCTATGTAATATTAACTAAGTATTGAGGAAAAAATCCCTGTAAATGTGGTCACGAAGCCTAGATTTAAATAACTGTAATTTAAGCTTGTTCTAAAGATTTATGACCAATAGCAAATACAAAGAATTATGTATTTCTTTGTAAATCTAATTTTACAGTGGAATAAACATAATGAATAAAATCCACTGAATGATTGGAAACAATATGAGCTTTGGGAGCTTGGGAATTAAATTACTTATTTGTTTCTCTGTCTCTTTAGATTCTACAATTTTAATTCCTAGTGGCCCAAGCTGAGTAAGGCAGATTAGTATGATCATTTTTCTGTCTCTTCCTTTAGGACAGTTTGAAAAGGTAAGTGACAAATATATAACCAAAACACTGGCAAACCTTTCTTATAATTAAAGGCATGGCATTTTTGATGGCATACAAAAATTTGTCAATAAAATTCATATTCAGTCACTTTTTTCTCAGGGTTTTTCCAACCATTCTTTCTCATTAATCTGTCCTACTCTTTAGGAGCCCAAATGCCACAACATTTTGTTTTGTGCATCAATGCCACGTCTGTAATGGCACCTAAAAACTGCTCTCCAGTGAAGGACCCTGACCCTGAAATACTGGTATATCTTTCATTACTGTCATCCAAACTTCATTCATAAGAGGATTCACTCATTCTTCATTCATTCACTGGAAAACTAAGCAATCTAAATAGCCCAGTTGTTTGATTTAAGCAATTCATAGTGAGATGTAAATTTCTTGGTGAAATATACATAGTAATATGCAGTTGTGATGGAGAGAGCCCTCTAAAAATTTCAAGAGAATCTGGCTTTCATCGGTGAAAATTTGGGGAGCAACTCATTATTGAAAATCATTTCTTCTCTGAAGAATCTCTCTGTCACTTCTTTGCAAAGATATATGTTGCAAAGATATATGCAAATATATAGATTTAGTATGCATAAATCGGCTCGTTATAATACAGAGGTATTTGTATTCTTAGCCCCAATTATTTTTAAATCTAGAGTTTTCAACAGGTTTTACTCTTTCATAGTAATATTATGGTCTCAGGTTTGTTTTCAATAATTTCTACTCCATTGCTTTAGGATAACTAATTTGATAGACATAAAATTTTCATACTCTCTAGGAAAATATTTCACCTAAATATGAGATTTATTTAATCTCATGTTGCATTTGGCTTTAAATTTGACTTAACCTAACTGAATGTATTTTAATTGTTTCACATCTTACGGTAAGCAAATGCAATATCTACATATGCTCTTGTGCCTCTAAAGCTACATCATGAAATTTGTTTCCAGGGTTACACCTAGAGAGACAAAATTTAGTTCCTAATTGGTCTGAGACATAAACAATAAAGATGTAAAGATAACACTATCTCTTCATTTCTGTCTCTCCATATCTATTGTTTTCTTTAAGAAATAACTCACAGTAACTTTCCAACCTCAGCAAACAAGTATGAAAACTCAAGTTGTTTTCACTCTGAAAATGAACCAGTTTCCAGCCATTGTGTTTTATGTCGGAACTGTCTAACTTAAATTGCATGTCCTTGGGGCAGAGAGCAGCTTTCTATTTTTTTTTTTTAACTGAGCCAAGTATCCTGTCACTGTTCTACAAAACAATAAATAATGAAGTAAATTGAAGATGTGTGAATTGTGCCACCTTGACAGAAAATAGAGCCGATGTTCTCGGAGGTGTTAACAACAGTATTTCCCAACAAGCAGCCGGAGCCTCTCTCCAGCACCTCAGAAACCCAAACAGCAATGGAGGATAAGAAAGTGGAAGCAAAGACAGAAGAGAATATTTATTTGGGATTAACTTGTAGTTACCTACTTGAGTACCTTTGTCTGTACTAAACAGACAAAGGAAATGATGGCTCTTTTAACCATCAGGCATATTGTATAAACATCATTCTCTTTCATTCCACATTGGGAAAAACAAACCCTTTCCCCACATTTTACTTTGTGTATAAAGTGTGTTAATAAAACTAAATGTGTGTTAACAAATGTGTTTTAATAAAAACTAATGTATCTAATAAAACTAAAAATAGGTGATCATATTTGTTCAAAAGTTCTTGGTTTTTCCTGTAAACAAGGCATAGAGAGCTTTGTGTGCTTCAGTTTCCACCAAAAGGTACCTTGTAAGAGAGGACTTCCTTGAACACTATATGTAAACTAACTCTGGTCCTCTAGCTCGTCCGCACAGTCATTCTTCCTCTATTCCGTGTTATTTTCCTTATCAAATTCACCCCATCTGAAATTATGTTCTCAGTTCTTTTTTAAAAAAATTATATCACATTATGAGCATATACCTTTCTGTGAGGGAAATGTCTTTGTATTGTTTTGCTAGCACCTAATAAAATTCTGCAACATAGTGGATTTCAGTCAATATTTGTAGAAAAGTAAAAGAAATACAACTTTAAAACAAACTAAGTGGTGGCGGGGCATGGTGGTTCACACTTGTAATCCCAGCATTTTGGGAGGCCGAGGTGGGTGGATCACGAGGTCAGGAGACGGAGACCATCCTGGTTAACACGGTGAAACCCCGGCTCTACTAAAAATACAAAAAAAAAAAAAAATTAGCCAGGCGTGGTGGTGTGTGCCTGTAGTCCCAGCTACTCAGGAGGCGGAGGCAGGACAATCGCTTGAACTCAGGAGGCAGAGGTTCCAGTGAGCCGAGACTGCACCACTACACTCCAGCCTGGTGACAGAGCAAGACTCCGTCTCAAAATGAAAAAAAAGTAAAAATAAAAATAAATAAACTAGGTGGCTTAAGTAATCACTACATTGGTAACCACAATAGAATGTAAGTAATATCACTAATATCAATGAGATATCCCTAATAAAAAATATGTCACAGAGTATTTAGTCAATATATATTGAAAAAAAAATTGAGATTTGAGATAAAAGCTGTATGAACATCATCATCTTAATTACAAATTGTGATTCCCCATATTTAAAGAAATATCTTTTGAAATACAGAAACTTACCAACTTGGTGGATTGTAGTTTTTAAAAAGTATGTATATCTATATATTTATACTTTATAGCAGATGATTGGTACTCAATTAAATGAGAAGAGGAAGGGAAGTGTAACAAAGATGAAAATTGTAGAACACTAAAACATAAAAACATATTCTACCTAATTTTGCCTGTTTCATACATTCACAGGTACTGATGAAATATCTAGAAAACTTCACATTATGTATTTCTATCATTTCCATAGGTTCTGGATTGAATTGCGTTCCCCAGTCCTAGCCCCCAGTACCTGTGAAATGTGAACTTAGTTGGAAATAGAGACGTTGCAGATGAATAAATAAAGATAAGATCATTAGGGTAGGCCCTTATCTAACATGACCATGTTCTTATTTAAAAAAAAAAAAAAAAGATACAGGGAGTTGGGTACTATGGTTTGGCTGGGTCTTCACCCAAATCTCATTTTGAAATGTAGCTCCACAAGTCAGGGAGGGACCTGGTGGGAGGTAATTGAATCATGGGGTGTGTTTTTCCCATGCTGTTCTTGTGACAGTGAATAAGCCTCAAGAGATCTTATGGTTTTATAAAGTGCAGTCCCCTTGCACATGCTCTATTGCCAGCTGCCATGTAAGATGTGACTTTGCTTCTCTTTTGCCTTCTGCCATGATGTTGAGACTCCCTGGCCATGTGGAACTGTGAGTCCATTAAACCTCTTTTTCTTTATAAATTACCCAGTCTTTGATATTTCTTCATAGTAGTATGAAAATGGAATAATACAGTAAATTGGTACTGGTAGAGTCGGGTAATGCTATACGGATACCTGAAATGTGGAAGCAACTTTGGAACTGGGTAAGAGGCAGAGGTTGGAGCAGTTTGGAAAGATCAGAAGAAGACAGGAAAATGTGGGAAAGTTTGGAACTTCCTAGAGACTTATTGAGTGGCTTTGACAAAAATGCTGACAGTGATACAGATAATGAAGTCCAGGCTGAGGTGTTCTCAGATGGAGATGAGGAACTTACTGGGAGCTGGAATAAAGGTAACTCTTGCTATGTTTTAGCAAAGAGACCGTTGGCATTTTGCCCCTGCCCTAGAAATCTGTCAAATTTTGAACCTGAGAGAATTGATTTAGGGTATCTGGCACAAGAAATTTCTAAGCAGTAAAGCATTCAAGAGGTGATTGGGGTGCTCTTAAAAGCATTCAGTTTTATATATTCAAAAAGATATGGAATTTTAGATTGAAACTTATGTTTAAAAGAGAAGCAGAGCATAGAAGTTGGAAAATTAGCAGCCTGACAATGCAATAGAAAAGAAAAACCCATTTTCGGAGCAGAAACTTAAGCTGGCTGCAGATATTTACATAAATAATGAGGAGGCAAATGTTAATCGCCAAAACAATGGGGAAAATATTGCCAGGGCATGTTTGGGGTCTTCACAGCAGCCCCTCTCATCATAGGCCTGGAGATCTAGGAGGAAGAAAATGATTTTATGAGCCGAGTCCAAAGTCTCGCTGCTATGTGCAGTCTTGGGACTTGGCTCTCTTTGTCCCTGCCATGGCTAAAATGAGTCAACATACAGCTGAGGGGGTTGCCTCATAGGTACAAGCCCCAGAACTTAGCAGCTTACACATGGTGTTGGGCCTGCGGGTCCACAGAAGTCAAGAATTGAGGTTTAAGAATCTCCATCTAGATTTCAGAAGATGTATGGAAATGCCTTGATGGTTAGGTGGCCAGGAAGAGGTGTGCTGCAGGGGAAGAGCCCTCATGGAGAAACTTTGCTAAGGCAGTGTATAAGAAAAATGTGGGGTAGACGCCCCCATACAGAGTCTCCACTGGAGCACTGCCTAATGAAGCTGAGAAGAAGGCCACCATCCTGCAGACCCCAGAATGGTAGATACAGTAAGAGCTTACACCATGTGCCTGGAAAAGCAGCAGACATTCACCATTAGCCTGTGAAAGCAGCTAGGAGGGGGGCTGTACCCTTCAAAGCTACAGGGGCAGAGCTGCTGAAGACCATGGGAACACACCTCTTGCATCAGCGTTACCTGCATGTAAGACATGCTGTCAAAGGAGATCATTTGGGTGCTTTTCTATTTGATTGCCCTGATGGATTTCAGACTTGCATGGGTCCTATAGCCCCTTCATTGTGGCCAATCTCTCCCCTTTAGAACAGGTGTATTTATTCAATGCCTGTGCTCCCATTGTATCTAGGAAGTACTATTAACTCACTTGGTTTGATTTTACAGGCTCTTAGGTAGAAGGGACTTGCCTTGTCTCAAATAAGACTTTGGACTGTGGATTTTTGAGTTGATGCCGAAAAGAGTGAACACTTTGTGGGGCTGTTGGGAAGGCATGATTGCTTTTGAAATGTAAGGACATGAGATTTGAAAGGGGTCAGGGGCAAAATGATGTGGTTCTGCTGTGTCTCCACCCAAATCTCATCTTGAATTTTAACTCCCATAATCCCCATGTATCATGGGAGGGACCTGGTGGGAGGTAATTGAATCATGGGGGTGGGGTTTTCCATGCTGTTTGTGTTCTTGGAATTTGTCTCATAAGATCTGATGGTTTTATAAAGGGAAGTTTCCCTACACATGCTCTCTTACTTGCTGCCATGTAAGACATACTTTTGCTCCTCATTCATTCCTTCTTTACCTTCTTCCATGATTCTGAGGCTTCCCCAGCCATGTGGAACTGTTAGTTCATTAAACCTCTTTTTCTTATAAGTGACCTAGTCATGGATATTTCTCCATAGCAGTATGAAAATGAACTAATATATTGGGACACAGAGATATGCACAGAGGGAAGATGATGTGAGTGCACAGAAAGAATACTACCTACAAGCCAGGGAATGTCTGATGCTACCAGAAGCTGGCACAGAGGGAGGGAAGAGATTCTCCCTCACAGACCTCAGAAGGCGGCAACTCTGTAGACACATTGATTTCTGACTTATGGCATCCAGAACTATGAAACAATACATTTTTGTTGTTTAAGATGCCCAAACTTGGTATTTGTTATGGTAGTTCTGGCAAACAAACATACCATTCGTTCTCAATTTCAATGACTGAAGTCACCACTTCGGCCCAATATCTAGATGTTGGCACAATTAAGTGACATTATATTCCACAGCATTCATTCAAGTAATTAACAGTACTTAGTAACATTTAATTCAATTATTCATTTAAAATTATATTTTTGCAATTAATTTGACTTCCTTGTATCAGCCATTCTCTAGCTACAAAATTAGTTTATGATATCATTCTATTGTTACCAACACATTTAGGAGATTGTAATAGGGCCTAAAATTTGCAAATAGTATTTTTAATTTTATTCACAGATTATACAAAATTTAATATTAATAGGTTTATTCACATAAAGTGGGGAGTTAACAAAATTTTTGAATCCCCTTCAAATAGCAGATAACAGATTTTCCTACCATCAAACTAGATGTTTAATAAAAATAATATAGGTGACATTTTAAGAATCAATGGAGTTAATTTTGTAAGAGTGATTTACCAACCTGTACTTATATCCATAATAAGTGAATATTTTAAATAAGCTTTGTCTGATTTAAAGTATGAAAGGAATTTTCACTTTTATTTTGCTTTAACCTTAAAGACATATTCTGTTTTGACTCTTCACAGTATAAACTGAAGAGAAAAATTTATATTCATAGCATTTATGCACATAGAAATAATTTCCACTTTATATTGTACTGTGTAAAAAAACTGACTTAACATGAAAAACAAATAGGAGAGTTTGAAACTAATGTAAATGATATCTGCGAGGAAACTATTATCTTAACTTGTGCTGTACTCTGGAATTATAGAGCCCACAGAAAACCTTCCATTTGTAGTTTTTTTCTATATCTTATAAAATTGAAATTAGTACTTTTCACTAAATGGGAGGTCCGTTGAAGCAATATAAAAGCAAGAAGACTTAGAACAAGGAGAAATATTTTTTATCTACTTTATGACAATTATTGATATTTAAGTTTAACTCAATCATCTGTTAGAATAAATTCATGTCTTCAGTGTAATTAAGCTTAACTTAATTAGTATTCATTTGATTTCTCTAAAATACTCTAAACATTACAGATTAAAACTCTATAAACAGATTTCCTATTATGCATATATGAAAATCCGGATTGAGTTCAGATGTAAAAGTATATGCTTCTGATGGAATAAAGAGAACTACCATTAAATTTACTTTTCCAGAAACATATCTGAGTATATTTCATTTTAAATCAGTCCTGATAATCTTTTAATGTAAATAATTTCATGATTTGTGTTTTTAATTTATGAGTCCAAGCATGTTTGTGGAGTTGGTTTAGTCTTACTTGAAAACTAGTTAGGGGTTTGAGAGAATAGATGCCTCGGATTCCTTAACTGTAAAATACAGTGAAGATTTTAAGATAAAAGCTTATATTTACATTTTGTAAATTTTTTTGAGTTTAAATTCTCTAAGCTAAAGAACAAAATTGCTAAACAC